AAGCTTTTAATTTATTTAAAAAAAAAGATTTTAAAATAGAACATATTATATAGAAGAATATAATATTTATACATATATATATAATATTATATATACACTTGCAATATATTTATTTTAAATTATTTATTATTTATTATATTAATATATTAACAATTTATTAAAGGAAAAAAAACTATTAATTAAAATTAGTAAAATTATTTATAACATAATTTAAATATTATATTTTAAAAATAAATCTATTTTCTTTTTAAGAGTTAATTGAAAAAATTATCACATTATATTATATTATATTATTATTATTATTAATAAAAAAGTTAATTATTAAAATATACAAATCCCTCTAAAAAATAAAATACCAAACAAATTATAATCCAATAAAATATTAATGGAATTTTTTTTTAATTGTATTCTGTCCAGTTGTTGTATCTTTGTTTTTTTCTTTTATTTTACTTAAAGCAACTTGTATAGCTGCTAACCGTGCAACTTGTGTTTCATCATTCGGAGCACAACATATATAAGTTCTTCCAGGTGTAATAACTTTGAAACAATGTAATTTTGGTTTAGAAATTGGTTCTATTTCAGATTTATACTCAAATGTGGTTTAAGATCATATGAAAATATAATTAATTGATCATTCAATCAAATACAAAATGAAATAATTGTTGTAACTATTTTATATTTTGGCTTACTTTTTTATCTTTATAATAAATCAATTTATTATTTTTCAATTCAAACCATCTTTTTCTCCAAATTTTCTAAATAAATATAAATATAATAATTATTATCCATATATAAATGTGTTATGATTTATACATATATATAAATGTATATCTATAAATGCACATGAAAATTTTAGTACCTTGTATCTATCTAATTTATAAACATATCCTTGATGAATTATTCGGGACTCCTCACCTTCGTTAATTTCATCATTTTCATCATTAGTTGCATCCATCATATCATTTTCTTCTTCTTGTACTTCTTTTTTAACCTTATTTATTGCTTCAAGCATTTTTTTACTTTCTGCTTGAACATAATATGTACGTTTAGGAGTGACCTTTTCACTTTTATAATATGCCAATTTAGTTGACCTTAAAACAAACCATCTTTTTCCAATTCTAATAATTATAATTATATTTAGATTTTTTATTCCAAAAATATACATGTAATGATTTTAAACAGTTAATTTAATTACTTTTCCCCAGACTTTCTTCTCTCTTGTTTTTTTTTAGCAAGATAGCCTGATTTTATTAATTTCTCATGTTGTAATGTTTCTCGCGCTTCTAAGTTTTTTGTTTCCTCCTCAGGTTCAATTTCATATCCTTGTCCTAAATCTGAATGAATGATAAATTCTGTTACTGAATCTGAGGTATCAGAAGATGGTGCAATAATTAATGCACTTGTTATTCTTGGGAAAATAAAATAATTATAGCCCTCAATATTAACAGTCGCATGACATTTCACGCTATCAATAAAGGAGTCGTAAAACACGGGAGCGTCCACGGAAAAGGGTTTCTAGCAACAAATAAATCAATAATAATAATTATTAGTATTAGTGAATCGATCACGCCCAAATCACATAAAATCCTTAATTGACGATCTGTCTATGAGTGAAATGTTGGAGGAAATTAATATATAGTAATAGGTCATATTAATATTAATATTAATATGAAATGCGATCCGTTATACAAAATTTTTAAAAGCATAATAATGTGTTGAAGACACAAAAGAGCGTGGAAAACATAATATAATTCACTCTATAACGGATCATTGGGATTATTATTATTGTTATTACATAGGTAAACTCGATAAATCGGTCTCTTGATAAGTCGGATTTGGCCTAACTCGGCCAAAATTTTTC